CGCGGGGTGGCCGCGCATGATCCAGATTTAGTCGCGAAGTTCATTTTGTATTGTTTCTTGTTATGGATGGTAGCCCTGCGCACAGCAGGCAATACGCTGACTCCCCCGCCGTTCCCGTCAAAACAATACAAAGTGCTCGCGGGCCTCACGAACATGACTCAAGAATTTGTCCCAAAGTGTATTCTGTGTTGTTTTTTGGCGAGGTGGGGTGGCCGCATCGGGTTGGCCGCGCATGCTCCAAATCTGGAGGCAGAGTGCGTTTTGTATACTTTTTTGACAGGGATGGTGGGGGGGGATGAGCATGGTTCCTGGTTGGCTGCCGGTCGCCTGGGGGAGGGGGTGTATTCTACTAGGGAACAGTGATCAAGACATCTGGTGCCCACAAGGCACAAGCCGTCTCGCTCACTTCACCCGCCCTCCCAACACGTAAGTAGCATCCGGGTATCCCTGACAAAAACCAATGCGTTGTGCGTCGTAGTTCTACAGGGTCGGTTGGCTTGCTCGCAGCAAGCAGTATGCCGACACTCCCGCCGTCCCGGTCAAAAACCAACGCAAATTCATCGCGGTGCGCCCGGCCATGCTCCAGATTTAGAGCAAAGTGTATTTCGTATTGTGGATACCAAGATGACATGCTTTGATATTGTACGAATATGTGGAGCTCTGGGCCAACTGTGTCAGCATGTTTGAACGCATCGGTCGGATTTCGAGGTGGCTTTTGAATGGCAGGAAGTGCGTTGTAGTACCTTTGTGGATGAACTATGACGCGGCCGCAATACAGGTGCAGCTGGGGCCAAACATTCCGGCTTGGCGTGCTTTTGGGTTCGGTCTTATGGGAAATATTTGTTTTTTTTTGGTGGGGCCTGTAGCTGAGAACCGAGAGTGGGACGGAGTCGCCGAGGGCATTCTGCAGATCGCCAGTCTGGTCAAGTCGTTGAACCTCCCGAAGCTCCACGCTTTTTTATTATTTCGGATGCTGGGGACAGCCTGAGTTCTATTTCTGTCGCAACTCAGGGCGCCGCCCAGAACACGTCGGCGCGCAGAGCTGAGCGCAGCCAGGTCTGTCATCGGAGGCCCTGGGCTGTGGGCGCCAACGCATCTCTTCTACCATTTTCGGGAAGCGCTTGGGTTTCTAATCTCGTTCAAGGCAATGGATACGATATGTTTGTCAATGGTGACCAACACATGCTTCACTTTTACATGCGACTGGCGACGCAACGCTCATGTCCTACAAGACGCAAATGGAGAGCCAGAAGCATTACTAGTGCACCCGCGAAGTGACGGAAGAGGCAGCGCGCTGCCATTCAGTTGAAGGATCGTATTGATTCGTTTGACCTGGAAGGGCTCAATCATACATGCGGCCTAAATCTTGACGACCCTGGCGCAATAACCAGTGATCTTACAAAGCTGATATACAAATTTTTGAGGCCCACCATGATTCATTTCGTCCCGGTGATTGAGCTCGGGCGGAAACTGGGACGGTGGTTCGATGAGGACGACGTGAAGGAAATGGCAACCAGCGCCGTTACGACGTTGTCGGTTCTTCGGAATTGCGTGCCTCCTTGTGTTGTTTTTTGTTTGATCAGCACGTGGTGCAACGGTTCGTGCACGCAACGACATTTTCAGGACACGGCGGGTCGCTGCAGTCTTTGTAAGGATTACGACGGCGAGGACTCGATCGAACATATGCTGTGTGTCGATACCAGAGTGTCTTCGAGGCTAGATTTAGGGCAACTGTGCCTAGGTGTGCCCAACGGGAGTTTTTCTGCCTTGGCGGCAACAGTCTGGACATGATGATTTTCCGTGCTTGCCACGTGTACGCGGTGAAGAGGGCTGTCGACGCAAACAAGGCCAACGCGAGAAAGAGCCATGCCAGTCAAGTGGGCAGCATGGTGTGGCATGGACACCGGACCGCGGAGCTGTACGACGCTAGCTTGGCCAACCGATACCGATGGCACTGCGGTGGGATATGATTCTTGACCAATCTACCACTGTTTCGTCAAATGCCCAGTCTCGCCGATAAGAGTCTGGCGTGGACTCGTATCGTTCCCTGCTGGCACGATTTTTAATTATTAAAAAATGTAATTCGTATTGTTCTTGGGCAGGGATGGTGTGGGAGAGGCCCGCACGGGTCTGGGTTGGCTTCTGGTCGAGTGGGCAAGGGGGTGTTTATCAAAAGGGAACAGTGATCAAGGCACCTCTCCCGGACGCAAGCTATTCGGCTCATTCCCACCCGCCTTCCCAACACATAAGTAGTACCCGCGTCTCAGCATATGCAGCGGTCGTTTATGGATGGGCAGCCTCAGGGAACCACTGCAGACCCCAGGTGTGTGACGCTGAGGCGAGGTGCGCCACGTGTGCCAGACGCGCCACGCGCACCAAGCGCGCCAAGCGCCCCTGAGGCAAGCCTGGTTCGCCAGATGTGCCACGTGCGCCGATTGTGTCGCATGCTACAGCCGCGTCAGGTGCGCCATGCTCGGGTCATGCGCAGAGTGTGCCAGTCGCGCCCACGCATGTCGGGAGACACGTCGGTCTGGAACAACCAGGTCGGAAGCCCATGAACTCATTGCGGCGGAATGGCCATGATGATGTCTGCTGGGCCTGCACACAGCAGGCGCTCTGCCAGCACCCACGCCGTCTCTGTCAAAATATCAATGCAAAGTCCACTTTGTGTTGTCCTGACAAAGGCGGTGGCCCTGCGGACCGCAGGCTAAAGGCTGGCACCCCCGCTGTCCCTGTAAAAACCATTGCGAAGTGATCACGGGGCGTCCGCAGGCGATCCAGGTTTTGGTGCAGAGTGCACTTCGTATTTTTTTGCAGAGGATGGCCGGGGTGTGTTGGCACTGCACACAGCAGGACGTGCCGATCCTCCCGCCGTCCTTGTCATGAACCAATGCAGACTGCTCGCAGTGCGTCCACGCATGATCCAGATCTTGGTGCGAAATGCACTTGCATGTTTTTTGTTCAGGCGAGGGGTCATGGACTCGGGTTTGTCGCCGTCGGGTGGGGGAGGGGGTGTATACTATTTCGGAACAGTGATCAAGCTACCCACAATCAACAAGCGGTCTCGCTCACTCCCACCCGACTCCCAAAACATAAGTAGCACCCATGTCTCAGCATGCACAGGGGCCGCCATCGCATCGGGAACCACTGCAGACGCCAGCCATTTGCATTGGGCAATTCGTCGACCCTCCTTCCGTCCCTTCCAAGACCAACGCAGAGTGACGGCGGTTTTGCGAGAATCATGTATTGTGTGCGAGTGTGCATCCCGATTATTTGGCATTTGTTTTTTGTCAAGCATTACGTGCCTGCGTGCAGCAGGCAGTATTTTCTGGTGAACAGGATGACCGTCTTGCACGCAGCAGGCAATATGCCGACCCCAAAGCCATCCCTGCCGAAAACCTAGGCAAGGTGAGCGCGGGGCGGCCGTGCATGATCCAGACTTTGATGCAACATCCTCTTTGTATCATTTGTAGCAAGGGATGTTCGGGGGGGGGGGCATTGCACACAGCAGTCAATATGCTGGACCCCGGCGTCCCTGTCAAAAACCACTGCGAGGTGATCGCGGGGCGTCTGCGCATGATCCAGGTTTTGGTGGTGCAGAGTGCACTTGGTACAGTTTTTTTGCAAGGGATGGTGGGAGAGTGTTGGCATTTCACACATCAGGCAATGTGACGCCCCCCCCCGCTGTCCCTGTCACCGCCGCCCTCTTGTATTGCATTGCGCTGCATTGCATTGCATTGCATTGCATTGCTTTGCATTGCTTTGCTTTGCATTGCTTTGCTTTGCTTTGCTCTTCGCTTTGCTTTCTGCGTGGGTTCGCATTGCTTTACATCACATAGAATGCACCACATGGATTGCACTACCTAGATTGCACCACATGGATTGCACCATCAAGATTCCAGCGTATGGATTGCAAGAACATTATTGTTTTGGAGACCACGTTGGCTAACATTGTTTTTAACAGGGGATGGTGTGGGGGTGTTGTCATGGTCCTGAGTTTGTCGCCGGTCGGGTTTGGGAGGGGGATTATATTATGCCTAGACGACCGCCCTTCGGGTGATAAGGAGGTTGGGGGGGAGGCGACAGAAGCAACTGCTGGCAATTATCGACCTCACGATCGATCCAACGATCGATCGCACTACCAATCTCACCACGTCTCGGTCGTTATCGATCTCACTATCGATCTCGCTATCGATCGGGACACCATCGTGACACCACGGCGGGACACCGCGGGACACCGTGGGACACCATTGGACACCACGGGACACCAGTGGGACACCAGTGGGACACCAGAGGGACACCGCAGGACACCGCGGGACGCCATGGGAAACCATCGGGACACCACGGCGGGACACCAGCGGGACAGCGCGGGACACCATGGCTGGACACCCGTGCCACCGCGCGCCCACCGGAGGACCAGATGTTTGCAGCCGAATCGCCCTAGATCCGCGGCGGGATCATGTCTTCCGAGGCAGGAATCTATACACGACCACCGCCTGGAGGATCAACTTTCGGGGACCTCGGCAGGCGGTGGATTTGGATATATTCGGGCCCGGGGGGCCAAAATAGATCCATATCCGCCGCCCGCTGGGGCACCATGACGTCGGTTCCCAGGCGGTGGATATGGATAAATCCCCGCCTCGCATTCCTCTCGCGCGCCCACGCAGCTTCGCCTCGCCCGCACGCACGACACGAAAACGAAACCGAAACCGATTTCCCAGTGGGGGTCTCTCTGTTCCTTTTGCGATCTCCCCCCCCAGACACCCTTCCCCTGAGAGGAGGAAGGGGGGTTGGAAGTGGAAACCCGCTAAACCACTCGCACCCACTTGCTTTCCGTTTGCATGGCATTTGCAGTTAACATGTTTTTCGGTTGTCATATCAGTTTGCCAGTCCGATTTTGTTTTTAGCTCGGCTTCAACTTTTCGCTTGCCTGTAGCTTGTCGCGTAGACTGACAGTTGACTGTCTTTTGATTGCCTGTAGCTTGCCTCTGCCGTGCCATCACCTGCTTCAATTTGGTAGCCTGTTTTTATTTCAATACGTGGCCATCATGCCTTGGGACAGTACTACTGTTGGCGTTTGTCTTGTGGTGACTCGGCATACACGTAGTTTGTTTGCTTTTAGCTTCCATTTCACGTGTCCTCAGCTTGTTTTAGGATTCGTTATGGCCTACATGTTTATATTTGTTATATCGTGCTGTTAGCTTACCAGCCGTTTGTTCTCAGATTGCACATCGGCTTCCGCCGTATGCTGCCTTCGGCTTGGCCGCAGTTCCCGTTTCGCGCCACTCATCGGAAGAGAGAAGCCCAATATGGGTGTCGCGCTGGGGCACTTTTCATGGCACAGGTCTTCGGTAGCAAGTCATGGAAGCCTTTTATACCCTCTTATGTCCGTCTTTAGCGTCGATTAGCGTCGATTAGCGTTTGGGAGTCGATGATATGAGCGCCGATGTAGCGTCGGTCAGCGTCGACTGGCGTCGATCTAACGTCGATTTAGCGTCGACCACCGTCGATTGGTCGGCCAGCAAGATGGCACGGGAGGCTCCCGTGAGCTGCCACGGAACTCGTCATGCCACAGGTCGCCTTCCACATGCTGGAGAAGCTGGGCGTGCCCACGGGCCTGGTGGTCTACCCCGGCGAGGGCCACGGCTTCGACCAGCCCGAGCACCAGCAGGACCGTGCTCGGCCCAGGTCGACGGCACTGGGCTTGATCCGCGCGGGCGAGCGTGCCCCCTGACAGCACCCTCCGCCCCCCAGCTCTGGACGAGGAGGACGAGGAGGAGGCCGATTGGACCCAGGATGCATCAGCGATGTTGCAGTGCACCCTCCCGTCCCAAGCGTCCCCCTCGCAGGTCCATGCAAGCGTGCCATTCCCGCTGCGGGAAGCGCTTCCCTTGAGTGACGAGCGCCCGTTGGGCTTGCCGTGCAGGCAAGACTCCATGTTGTGAAGGGTCCGCCCTCCGTCCTTTTAGGCAAGAAGAAACGCAACGTAGTACAGTGGGGTCCCATGCCAAGAAACACCCTGCTTGCCTCCAGGGTGCCCTGGGTTTCTTGGGCTTCGATCGTTTTGCGATGGAAATCGTGACGTTGCCGCACCAAAAATCAAAGGACGTCTGGGGATCTCAGGGTTGGGTTTCTTGTGGAGGGTTTCTTGTGGACTGGCATCCACTGCATGATGAGAAGATCCAAGGACATGTCCAGCGGTAGCCCCGCTGTGAGCAGGATCTCCCCTCCATCTGCGCAGGTTTTTTCAAGTTTGTATTTATGAGTTTGACTTCGCGGAGGTCCTGCGCTTGGGCACGTCCAGAGCTGCCCAAGACCGCAGCGACAATCAGTACGCAGCGAATGAAATCGCGAGAGAAAAGCAGTAACCGACGCGAGGCGATTGGAACAGATGAAGCGACTCGCACGTTACTTGAAAGTCCGATCGAGGATATGTTTTAATCACCCGTTTCAAGATACATGTTAGTTGTCAGGTGCGGTTGTCGGCACAAACATTCATAATGTTTAGGAACACCGAAATGGCACGAACTGAGGGGAATGGATGCACACATCAAAAGTATTCAAAGCGTCATTGGTTTACGGTGCCGGGAAGCAGTATTCTGCGTAGTCGTGATGGGAGCGATTCTATTATTTAATCGTTTCGCTCTTTCCGCCGGCCCAGACTGTTCCGTCGCGGGCGTTTGTCCGCGCGTCCGGTAGTGGTCGGTTCCTTGCATTGGTGCGTGAGCAGTCTTGGTGTCTCGGGGCAGAGGGCTCGAAGTGGCTGTTGGCGTCTCCTCTCTCGGGCCCTTCTTGGACCTCCCTTGAATCACCGAGCGCGTTCCACTACTCTCAAGGTGCCTACTCGCAGACGTCCCAGAACAAAAAGACGTGTTTGCCTCCGACATGGTTTTGGACCATAGATCCCTCGCGGCGGATCCAGGTCGTTTGCGAGTGGCTACTCTGCGAGTAATGGAACGCGCTTGTCTATTGAAGACCTCTTGGGCCGTCTTGGGAACCGTTTTTCGGGATTCGTTGTGCCATCGTGGACGCTGGCCTGCGCGCTCCAGGGGGACATCCTTGAGCCTCGTGGGGCCTCGCGGGGGGCATCAGGAGGAGGAGGAGGAGGAGGAGGAGGAGGAGGAGGAGGAGGAGAGAGGAGGAGGGAGGAGGAGGGAGGAGGAGGATTATCTTGGGTGCCTCTTGGGGGCCCCCTTTGGGGTTTCTTGGGGGGCTTCTGGGGGACTTGGGGGGCCGTCTGGCAGTCTCGGAGGCAGCCTGAGGGGAGAGGGCTCAAAATCTCAGTCCGGGTTCCCCCTCTTGGCCCCCTTCTAAGGGCCTCCTGAACCCTCTTGGGGCCCTCTTGGGCGCCCTGGGGCTCCGTGAGGGGCGCCCTGGGGCTCCCCCGAGGCTCCAACGGGGCTTTGGCGGTTGCGGGGAGCAGTTATGAGCAGTTCCTGAAGGGGCTATAAGCAGTCTTCTCTGGCCGCGCTGTCCGGGAATGCAGAATAAATGCGTCATTTGCGCAGCGGGTGTTCGAAAAACATGTATAAATGAAGTCGGGCTGAAAATTCTGAAACAAATTGTTCATGAAGTTTTCTGTGTATGAATTTTCGAGAATGCAAAAATGAATGCATCAATTTCGCAGCGAACGTCCCGAAACAGATTTAGATATGAATTCAAATTTCGTTGTTTTATTTAGTGTCAAAGTTTCGGAATTCTGAAACAATCGTTGAAGTCTTGTGTATTGCGTTGTGCAATATGTAAAATGAATGCGTAATTTCCGAAGCGGGTATCCGAAAAAGATTTGTGAATTAACCCAGTTCGATGCTTGCATGCGTGTTTCAGAAAGTTTGTGGGTTCATCTACTGTTTCGTTTTTTCATCAAGGAGGTTAGGGGATCAGATATTATTTGCTTCCTTGCTAGTTTGAAGGGGTTGACATTCGATGTTTGGTTCGCTTGCTTGCTTTTTCCAGACCCTTCTTGAGGGGTCCGAGTATTCGTTCAGTTTGCTTGCTGATTTTCTGAAGAGTCTTTGGGAGTAGAGTCGCCTCCCTGATTCTTGGGCCGTCTCGGGGCCTTCTTCGAGCGTCTTGGGGCTGCCTTGGGAGGGTTCTGGGCGGATTCGGGGCGATCTTGGCGGCCTCCTTGGCTGTCCTGGGCGGCCAGAAGCCCGAGAAGCCACGCAACAACAACGAATTTTGCCATTGGGGCCTTCGTGGGATCCTTGAAGGGCCCTCTGGGGCCGTCTTGGGCGCCCCTGGGGCCGTCTTTGGCCATCCTGGCGCGCTCTTGGCCTGAAGCCGTGGGGCCTGCCCCCTGCTTGACGTCTCTCGGGGGCGCTCCTGGGGCGCCCTGGGAGCAGGGAGGGCCGCGCCCCAAGAGTGCCGCCATTCCATGCCCCGACTCGGCAGGGAGTTTGGGCTGGTACTGCTCGTCCGAGGGGCCCCAGGGGCCGCCCGCGCGCGCGTACTGCAGTCGAGGCTGGTCAGTAGGTCGAGCCTTCCAGCGCTTCGCGACCCGTGCCTTCCACACCCTTGTGTCAGTGTGGCTCTCGGAAGGGTCTTGCGTCCTCTCCCGTGTCCTCCACAGTCAGCCTCGACTGTAGAAGCATCCTGACCTCTGACCAGAGGTTTTTTAGCACGCCTCTGGCCCGTCGGGCTGGCGAATCAGAACCTTCCCTTCTGAGCCGCTCGAGGCGCAGAGTCCCCCCTCGGCACCTTACCGCGCTTCGGGTGCACAAGAACTGATGCACATCGGTCGTTGAGAGTAGGTATATTTGCGGATTCCCAATTCCCAATCTACTTCAGCCACCTTCCTACTTCAAGAGTCGAGTGGTTTTTCTTCTTCCCTCCTCTTCTGGAGGCGGGTGGAAACCGAGTCTATTTTCAACGCCTCCCTACTTCATAGTTCTACTTACTTCTTCTGACCGATGGGTATGGCTGCTGATGTTCCCTCCCCGCTCACCTCTCTTTCCGCCGCAGACAGCTTTGATGCAGTAGTGTTTTTGGTTTTAGCTCCCCGGCTGCGGCGACGCCAGGGGTCGGACGACAATGGCGACGACGACGAGGACGACGACTACGATGACGATGACGAGGAAGACGAGGACGAGGACGAGAACGACGGCGACGACGACGACGACGACGACGAGGAAGTCGAGGACGAGGACGAGGAGCTGTCGCGGGTCCCTGGGACCGTCGGACACAATGCTCCTCCTCCTCCTCCTCCTCCTCCTCCTCCTCCTCCTATTCCTCCTTTTCCTCCTCGTCCTCCTCCTCCTCGTCATCCTGCAAGGTGGCTCCCCAGCGCGGCCCCCGCCCCGCGCAGCCGTTTTGCCACGGGGGGCGCGGGGCCCGTGCCATAAGGGGGCCCCCAGGCCACGGCGGCCCGCCAGGGCCTGAAGAGGCCCCCTTCGCCCGCGTGGCACCGCGAGGCCAGGCGCCTTCGTGCGGACGCAAGGCGAAGGTTGAGGGCTGTGGCCGACGAGACACGTCTCGACGCCCATCACGGCAGCCAGGCCCCGCGTGGGCACCGCATGTCATCAGAGGCGTGGAGCACCTGCAAGAACTGCGGGCGACACGAGTGGAACGCCATCCTTGTCCAGGCTCACAAGAAGTGTTCATCGTGTCATCGTGTTGTCAAGCTCTACCAGCCCAAGAAGGGCAAAGGCGGCGTAGCAGGCCGCAAAGGAGGAGATCCCGAGCAGGCGCTGGCCCTGGCCCCACGTGCAGCCAAGCCAGAGGTCGCCCCGCTGGCCGTCCTGGAGAACGCCTTGGCAGCAACGGCGGGGGACATCGCGCTGACCCGTGCTCTGCAGGCGAAGATCGCCAGCATCAAGGCCAGCGAGAGCAGCTCCCCGCAGGCGGTCGAAGAGGCGCTGCGCAGGGCGGTCGGAGCAGTCAAGGACGCCGGGCTGAAGCACGACCAGGCCTTCGAAGCCCTGCAGCGTTGCGAGGTGGCCCTCCGCAAGGCCCGTGAACGTGAGAAGGATTGCGCCTTGGTCCTTGCAGCTGCGCAAGAGTCCAAGGCTATGGCAGCCGAGGCCCTGGCTGCCAAGTGTGGTGTTCTACCTGGCGCGGCAGCCCCAGTGGCCAGTGCCGCCAGCGAGGATAGCGAGCTGTTCGGCATCATGTGGGACGAGTCTTTTTTTTCGCGCAGTTGGACGAGTTGGAGGCCGAGTCCAGCGAGGTCGAGTCACTCCGCAAGCTCGAGGCCGACTTGAAGGCGACCAAGAAGGATCTCACGGCCAAGAACACAGCAGCCCAGGCTTGGTCGGCCCGCGCGAAGGAGCTGCAGGCGCAGATCCAGACGCGCTTGGCCAAGAAGCGCAGGGGCGCCGATGGCACCGCAGCGGCCCCGCGCGCTGAGTCGGGACCTCCCGACGGCGGCGCGGGGCCAGGCGCGGGCGCCGCGGGTTCAGGCGAGCAGGCGGCGGCGGCGGCTTCCCAGGAGACGGTCGACGCGAAGGAGGCCAGGCTCAAGGAGGCAGCGGCCAAGATCACAGCAGCCAAGCAGGCCGCAGCAGATGCCGCCTTGCTGGCAGCCGCCGCTCAGAAGCCAGTCGAGTGACGAGTGCGGCAGGCTGGGGTAGATAGCGCGCCTACCTCCAGCACAGCAGCCGCATCATCGCGTACAGGCGACGGCGAGCTCCCGACTCTCTCCAGGAGCGGGGCCGACACTTTGTTTCTCGT